CCAGAGACTATAAATCGCAAAGCAGGGAATTGCCCATCTTTCAGTAGAGTGTAGGAGTTGTTAACAATCTCAGTCTCTTAAAAACAAACACAAAAAAAAACCAAAAAAATAAACAAACAAGAAAAATCAATCTCAATCTTTTCTCTATCATGAAGCTGCCAATTGGCCCAGTGTTGAGAGTTTTTGTTTTCTTGATGTTGAGCTTCAATCCATATTGAAGACTATTGTCCTTGACTTTCTGCAGCGAACACCTCATGTCCTTTTCAGTTTCAGCAAGCAAGGGTGTGCCATCTGCATAATGTAGATACAAGGCATAATGCATAGCAGGCCTCAGAAAACCTTGTGGACAATAGAATACACTTAGAGGAGACACGCAGATATGGCACCAGAGGCAAAGCCTTCTTACTGGGAATCACAAAGGAGGAAGCACAGTTGCAGACAGATATTACTGATTTGGAACATGGAATGTGAGAAATATGAATGTAGAAAAATTAGAGATTGTTAAGGAAGAAATGAAATACTGGCATTCTAAGTATTAGCGAAATGAAATTAGTTGTCATGGGGCATTTTTAATCAGAAAATTATGTGATATACAACACTGAAAATGAAAAGATGAGTTGAATTCATAGTTAAAAAGACATTTCTAGATCCATCTTGAAATAAAATGTTGTAACAGGATAATATCCATATGCATACAAGGAAGACCTGTATTTAATACCATTATCATTCAGATATATACACCAACAACCAGAGCTGAAGAGGAGAAAATAGATGACTTCCATGAGCTTTTTTCCCCCCAGTTAATTTTTCTACCAACTTTTGCAGTCAGAAATTGATTGAATATGCAACCAGGATACTTTGATATTAATGGATGACTGGAATGCAAAAGGGAACAGGGAAGAAGGATCAGTAGTTGTAAAACATGGGCACAGTGACAGAAATGAGGCTAGAGATAGAATCATAGAATTCTGTACAATCAGTGACCTATCATTACAAAAGAAGGATTTCAGAAGTATTTGGAAAATACGGCTTTGGTGACAGAAATTAGACTGGAGATCACATGATGGAATTTTGACAGACAGTGATCTAGTTATTGCAGATACCTTAAAAAAAACGCACACACACAAACAACCCACATAAATGGTGACCATACACAAGAATCAGATTGACTATGTCTGTGGAAAGAGTCAAAGGAGACACACAATATCAGCAGTCAAAACATGGTCAGGGACTGACTGGAACTGTCAAATTGAAGGTCAAAAAGTTTAATCCACAAGAGTTAACATAGAACCTTTAGTTTCTTCCACCTGAATTTGAAGAATTAATTTGATGCATTCATTTAACTAAAGAGTAAGGACCAGGTGAATTGTTTGTGGGAAGACTTTCCATTAAGGATGGAATGAAGAAAGCAAAAAAAAGATTAAAAAGACAGGAAGAAAAGACCAAAATGGATATCAGAAGAGACTCTGAAAGTTGCTCTTGTACATTGAGAGGCTAAAGTGAAGAAATGAAGTAAGAGAGCCAAACAAAATATCAAGTGTCAGCTTGAGAAGACAAAGTATTATAATATTGAGACCTGGAGTTAAAAAAATCACAAGAAAAGATTATACCTAGCTGCCTTCAAACTGAAAGAACTGAAGAATAAATTCAGGCCTGGAGTTGTAATTCTGACGAATTCTTGGGGCAAAATTTTGAATGATACAGGAGCCATTTAAAGATGGAAGAAATACACAGAATGTACCAAAAGAAATTGATCAACATGGAACCATTACAGGAGGTAGCAAGTGTACCAATGGTACTGCAGGAGGAAATGCAAGCTACACTGAAGATTTGGAAAGGAAAGAAAGGAAGAAAGAAAACAAGGCCCCAGGAATCAATGGAATACCAATTGAGATCTTTCAGCAAATAGTTGCAACCCTGGATGTGCTTACTAGTCTTTACCAAGAAATTTGGAGGATAGTGTTTTGACCTACTGACTGGAAGAGATCCCTTTTTGTTCCCATTCAAAAAAACTGTGATACAACAATATTGTGGATATTATCAAGCAGTATTATAACTATATCACACGAGTAAAATCTTACTGAAGTAAATGACAAATAGTAATCAACAAGGAACTGCCAGAAATTCAGGCAGGGTTCAGAAGAGGCTGTGTGACAAGGGATATCACTATTGATAGCAGATGGTACTTGACTGAAAGAAAAGAAACCAGAAAGATGTTTGTTTGCTTGTGTTTTATTGGTTATGCAAAGGTATTTGACTATGTGTATCATAATAAACTATGAATAACATTGAGAAGAATAGGAATTCCAGAACACTTAATTGTGCTTATGTGAAACCTGTACATAGACCAAGAATCAGTCATTAGAATTTAGCAAGGGGGCACTTCATGTTTTAAAATCAAGATTGAGTTCTTTCTTTATACCTATTCAACCTGTATGCTGAGCAAATAATTCAGGAAGCTGGGCTATCTGAAGAAGATGCCATCAGGATGGAGTAAGACTCATCAACAACCCTGTGTTATGCAGATGACACAACCTTGCTTGCAGAAAGTAAAAGAAACTTAAAACATTTACTGAAAATAAGTAACTATAGTCATCAGTATAGTTTACTTCTTTACATTAAGAACATGAAAATCCTCACACCTAGATTAGTAGATCATAATAGATGGAAGAAAGACTGAACTTGCTGTTGTTAGGTGCCATTGAGTTAAGTACAACTCATGGTGACCCTATCAATGAGAGATCTGAGCCCTGTCCTATCCTGTGCCATCTTCACACTTTCAGACACACAGAGCCCATTGCAGCAACCACCGTGTCAGTCCACCTGGTTGAGGGTCTTCCTCTTCTTCACCGACCATCCATACTTCCTAGCATCATGTCCCTCTCCAAGGAATAGCCCCTTCTAGCAACATGCCCAGAGTATGTGAGGCAAAGCCTAATAATTCTTGACTCCAAAGAGCACTCTGGTTGCACCCTCTCCAAAACATATCTATTTGTTCTTTTGGCCATCCATGGGATGTTCATTGCTCTTCTCCAACACCACAGTTCAAAGGCATCAATAATTCTGTCATCTTTAGTCACTGTCTAGCTCTCAGATGCATGGCAAGTGATTGGAAAGACTATGACCTGAATCAGATACACCTTGGTTTTCAAACAGACATCAGTACTTCTCAATAATGGAGAGAGACATGGTGCATTGGGAAAATTGGGACCTCTTTTAAAGTGCAAAATAGCAGGGATGTCATTGTAAAGACTAAGGTATGGCTGTTTGAAGACATGTTGTTTGTCTTGTATCATTGAGTCAGACCAGCCCATAGCTGACCCTTTGGTGGCCTTTCAGAGGCAGTTAAAATCACACTGGAGCAGCTGGTGGTCTCAAACTACACACCTTCGGGATTGCAGCACAGCTTCTTGCCACTAGGCAACCAGAGCACTCTATTTAAAAACATAGTATTCTCAATTACTTTGTATACATGTGAAAGTTAGACAGTGGATAAAGAAGACCAAAGAAGAATTGATGCCTTTAGATTGTGTTGAAGAGTACTTGATATCCCATGGATTGTCAAAAGGATGTCTGCTAGGCCAATTGGCATAACATGGTTCAGAAGGACTGTTCTGCGTCCTACTTTGGGAGTATTAGAGAGGGTCTGAAAAAATTTAGGAGTGCCCACTAGGCCTCTTAGATGCAACTATTTATCTCTCCCTGCCTAGAGCAAAGAAAATCAAAAACTCAATGAAGCAATTAGTTCAGAGCACTAAGGGACCAGTGAATGATAGTTTCATCTAGCTTGAGACTGGTAAAACTAGATGCTTCCACTGCTGACTATTTTGATCAGGATAACGACAGAAGGTCCAGGTGAGAATGGAGAGCAAGATTTAAAATAATTTTAAAAAGACCAGACTAACTGATTTTATGGAACCTCTTAGACTTTGGCCGTTAGACTTCCTTTAGACTTGGAACTGAACATACCCCTAGGTGTCACCTTTTAGCCAAACAATAGATAAAAATCAATCCGTAATACCCATAAAAAACATGTTTCTCCGAACAAGTAACTGTAAAAGACTAGAAGGGCAATTTTTTTTTTTTAAGTTTAGAAGGCAGGTAGTGACAGGAAAGAAGGATAAATGGAAATAGGAAATTCAGGAAGGCAACCCTGAGAAAATAACAATTCACATTAAAGATCAATGTGTTTCTAAATTGCGGAATGTGAAACTAAGGTGCTTTATAAACATTCATCCAAACCACAATTAAAAAGAAATAAGAAAAGACTATCTTCTAAAGTCATCTTTAACTAGGTAGCCATATATAGTTCAGAGAATAAATAGTGCCATCCTTGAGTATTACATTCTTATAGTCAATTTTTTTATATGATCAAACTAGACAAACTATTCTAAAGGATGAAAAGTTTGGGGGCAAAGAATTAGTGGGAATGAAACTAGAGCCGTAAAAGAGAGATTGTAGGCACTATGTGAAGTATATAAATCTAGAAACTTGAATATACTCTGGTTTTGCTGTATATATTTTCATTAAAAGTAAAATGTTAATTTAAAAAATTGAAGGATCTGCAAAAGTGGGGGGGAATGAAAACATTTTTGATGTTTAAAAAAGATTAAGGGATCTTCCTTGTATAGGTTGTACATCTGGTAGTATTTAAGACTAGCTGATGGAGAGGTAGAAAGATGTCCTCTATCTCATGGATAGCTGAAGTAGATCCTAAAAGACCTTTAAAAGTTCTACCAGCCCTGAGATTCTTAGAATTAACTGTTTTTCATACTATACTTTCTTGAAACAATTTCCTGTCTTTTTCTGCTTTTCAGTCTTTACTTTCTAGAAGTTTTGTGTTGATGCCTTCATGAGAACTGAAGAGATAGCAGATGAGCTGTCTAGGTTGGTTCCTTGGGTGTCTGGTTTCTTAAATACAGGATTGACGCAATTATAAAGGGCCTCCTATTTTAGCACAATGAGTAATTGTGCCTCTTCCATTGTTATTGTCTTCCTAGGTGACTATAGGGCGAGGATTTGGTGTCACATACCAGCTGTTATCAAAAAGCTGCCCTTTGATGATTTCCCGAAACCACTGTGTTTTGAAGCAAGATGCTGAAGGCCAGTGGACAATTATGGACAACCAGGTATAGGAATTCACAGAAGTCTGACACCTTTCACTGAATTTTTATTTCTCTTTCTTTTTTTTTTACACAGGAAATTAAAAATTCAAAAGATCAAAGATATCTTTTTCTCCCCTAAACACCCATTTCTTTACCAGTGGCAATTGTTTCTATATGCCAGAGATTGGATTATGCTAAAATAATCCTTAATGACCTTTTAATTGAAGTTGCTTTCAAGAATACTTGAATTGGTCTAGTTCAAGAAACTAAACTAAGTTACTGGAGAATTTAACCCTTTGTGAATGGATGGTGCAAAAGACTTGGGAATCTCCTGAATTTCTGGAGTACACCTGTGGCCCAGGGGATGCTACAGCGTGAGAGAAGCCAAATTGACTATGATTTTAGCTACTTAAAATTCCCACATCTTTCAACCTTGTTTTACATATTGGTGTTCTGTGAAATTTCCTTTGAATGAAGAGATTTTCTCTTTAAGCACATTTTCAGTACATTGGTCTGTTATGAATATACTCTGATTTCTGGGTGAGTAAAGTGTTGGACTGCCAACCAAAGGCAAACAGTTCAGATCTACCAGCTGCTCCTCAGAGGAGAGATGGGCAATCTCCTCCTTGTAATTTACAGCCTCTGAAAACCCACTGGAGAGTCTGCTGTGAGTCATTTCCAACTTGATGGGACATAACAACAGAGGATGTGAAATAGTATGTAAACTCCAGGATTAGAAAGTATCTAAAGTGCAAATATATAAGCACCATGGAATGTAGAGAAAATACAGATTATGAAGTCCAAAGTCAGCAGTTAAGGATTGTGGTTGAGTACCATTGAGTTGAAACCGACCCATAGCTGACCCTCCAGCAGGTTTTCAGATGCAGTTAATCACACAGGAGGAGATTGCCCATTCTTCTCCCGCTGAGCAGCTGGTGGATTAGAACCGTGTGTCTTCAGGATTGCAGTGCAATTTCTTACCACTAGGCCACCAGAGCTCTCATTTAAGGAATCTTTAGATGCTATTTTACATTGCTTCACTGTTCTGGTGGGGAAGATTTTAAAGATACCTATTAGAAAGTAAAGGGAGCTCTGGTGGTCCTGTGGTAAAAAACTGTGATGCCAACCCAAAGGCAGGCAGTTTGAATGCACCAGTTACTCCATGGGGAAAGATGAGCAATCTCTTTTCATGGTATTTACAGCCTCTGAAAACCTACTGCAGGAGTAGCTATGAGTTGGCTCAGACTCAGCTGCACTTAACAATGTTAACATTACAAAGATGGCTTGCCTACTAATCTCATTTTGATGCATAAACTGCTGGATTTAGACTGTTGTAGAGAGTACCTTTGTGTGCTTGAATAAGTTAATTTGGCACTAAGTTTTTACTGAAGAAACCAAAACCAGACCCTCTGCCATCCCATCTTTGACTCCTAGCAACTCTCCATCAGATTTCTGAGGCTAGGGCTCTTTTTTAAAAAAAAAAATTTTTTATTATTAATTTCAATGAAAATTTACAGAGACTTTGGATTTCTATTCATTCATTGTTGCACTTTTTTTCCCTGCTCCCCCACCCCTTCCAGTACACTCTTCTCTTTGAAAAGTAAAAGAAAAATTCTTTCATTGTTTTACAGTCCCTCCCCCTAGGTCCACTCCACTATGCAGCCTTTGTTCTGGAGTCCTGACATGACAAAAATACCTAATCACATATCCCTTTTAAAACATTTTCTCCCTCATCTGTTTCAATGCAGTATATATCATTTATCCCATCTTTCTCAGTCTCCCCCCAACCCTGATGTCAGTCATGTTTTACAACAGTGGCACTGTGCAATATTTGTCCTTTTGTGACTGAGATATTTCACTCAGCATAATGTCCTCCAAACTCACCCATTTTGAATAATATTGCACGAATTCCTTGTTTTTCAATGCAGCATAGTATTCCATTGTGTGAATATACCACAGCTTCTCTATCCATTCGTTTGTTGATGGGCACTTAGTTTGTTTCCAACTCTGCTATTGTGAACAAAGTCGCGATAAACATGGGTGTGTATATATCTGCTTGGATGTCAGTTCTGGTCTCTTTGGGGTATATTCCCAGTAGTGGAATTGCTGGGTCAAATAGTACCTCTATTTGCAACTTTTTTGAGAAAGCGCCATACTGCCTTCTATAGTGGTTGCACTATTTTACAATCCCACCAACAGTGAATAAGGGTTCCAGTTTCTCCACAACCTCTCCAGTACTTGTTGCTTGCTGTTCTGTTAAATTTTGCTATTCTTACTGGGGTGAGATGCTATCTCATAGTTGTTTTGATTTGCACCTCTCTTAGAGCTAGGGATTTTGAACATTTCTTCATGTGCTTGTTGGCCATCTGAATGTCTTCTTTGGTGAAGTGTCTATTCATATCCTGTGCCCATTTTTCAATTGGATTATTTACCTTTATCTTGTTGTGGTGCGAGGCTATGAATCTTTAAATGAGGCACTGACCCTTGGTGGATTCAAACCACTGTGTGTTCAGTTAGCAGCACAACAGATATTACACTGAGCTACCAGGTATCCTTATTGTGCTGATGGAGATGATGTAAATGCTGAATAAATTAGTTTAGTACTCTGAAGAGGCACAATTAGCAGAATAACAATTGACCCTGAAAAAGAAACCTTTGAGATTTGCTTTTCCATTCTATGGACAGAAGAATCAAAGGTCCAGAAATTTAAATTGACATATTACTGGTTGGTGAGTGAGTGAATGAGCAGATCTAAACTTAAGTAGATCTCTCTACTATGTCCTGTTGACAAGTATCAGTAGAGGACACAAGAAGTTTTCTATAATAGAGGTTAGAATATAATGAGTTAAAAAACTCCATAATTGTTATGCATATTTAAGATATAGCTGCATTTAAAAATTTTTAAAAATTATTATTTTTTTAATTTTAATGAAAGTTTACAGAGACTTAGGGTTTCCATTCATTCATTGCTGCACTTTTCTCCCTGCCTGCCCACTTCCCCCCTCCCCATTCAGTCTTCTCCTTGAAAAAGAAAATAAAAACTCTTTCATTGTTATGCAATCCCTTCCGCCAAGTCCACTCCACTATGCAGCCTTCGTTCTGTACTCCTGTCATTACAATAATACCCAATCATATATCTCTTTTAAACAGTTCTCTCCCTCATCTGTTTTAATGCAGTATACATCATTCATCCTCTCCTTTTCTGTCTTCCCTCAGCCCCAATGTCAGTCTTGTTTTATAGCATTGACCCTATGCAATATTTGTCCTTTTGTGACTAAGATATTTCAGTCAGCATAATAATGTCCTCCAGGGTCACCCATTTTGTGTAATATTTCATGAGTTCCTTGTTTTTCAGTGCAGCATAGTATTCCATTGTGTAAATATACCACAGCTTCTCTGTCCTTTTGTTTGTTGATGGATAGCTGCATTTTTTTATTATTATAGAAGTACATGTGATACAAAATTTGCCACTTCAATAGCTACAAGAAGACTTCAAATCGGTTGTAATAGTTTATATTAAAATACCTTAGGAAGTTGAACTTTGTAAATAAACCAGTATAAAATTAAAAAAAAAACCCCAAAACCTTAGGAAAAGGTGCTTTCTCATTAAAGCTGACTATCAAAGGAAGCGTTTTATGGGCTTGCAGATGTGCTTGATTTCTAGATCAAGTGTATTTTGACTGTGTTCTATTTACGGGATTAGCAGATTTTGAGCATTTGGGAAGCTGATGTGATTTGTTCTCAGAGCACAAGCATCCTGTCCCTCAAGATCGTTGACTGTGCCCTGGAGTTGCAGGCCAGTGTTTGTTCTTCACTTTTTCATCTAGGGCTTATCTAGCATATGACTCCTCAGGTTAGTCAATAAAGCAGAGGACAGTTAGGTTCCTGATTCTGCCACATCATTTCTATACAATTGGATAAATTTCTGAGCATGGACTGATTATTGATGAAAACTATGGCCACAGTGTTCCAATTTTTTTGTTTTAATTTTTTTTTTAAACTTTTCATTGTGCTTTGAGTGCTCTGGTCTTCATACAGTGTTTTGATGGAACACCTATCCTTACAGATGAACACAAATATCCCTCTGACTTTTCCCTCCCTTCTTAACAAATAACTCCTTTTCTTTCTGCCCGTTTCTCCCTTTCATGATGTATTATTGGCTTCCCTCTTCTGTTAATTAGGAACTTGAATTTTAGCTGCAGGATGTTTTTGTTACAGTCATCTTTGAAGTCACTTGCCAAGTCTCTTTCAAGAAGTGTTTCTAGTCATTAAAAACTCCTATCTCTGTTTTCTCTGCATGAGATGGTTTCTTATCTGCTGGAATGACCAGAAAGTGGGAGCTTATGCACACCCACTACTCCCACCCGCTGCTATTAAGTAGATTTTTTTTTTTTACTCCCCAGAGGCCCTGCAAGACAGACTAGAGTTGTCCCAGTGGGTTTCTAAGGCTGCAATCTTTCTCCCACAGCATTGCAGGTGGATTTGAAGTAGAGGAGACCTTGAACAACTGACGTTTTATTTCAGAATCAGGCACTTTAACCACAGTACCACCAAGGCTTGTTTGAGCTTAAATATAGATGTAAAAATTACAGTAATTACAATTTTGGTTTAAAATTGATTTAATAAATAATATAAAAAGAATTATCCATCAAGAGATCAAAAGATTAAAAAATACAGTCTATACTACTATTCATTTAGAAAAAAGAAATTCTCATCTACACTATGATGTGGATGAACTTTGTAAACGTTGTACTGCAAAGTAAACAAATTATAAAAGGACAAATATTGTGTGATTATACTTGTTTTTGATACCTGGAATAGCAAATTCATAGACAGAAACTAGATTAGAGGTTACAAGGGTTAAGAGGAGAGAAGAGGGAGCTGTTATTCACTGGGTACAGAACTTCTGTTTGAGATGTTGGAAAACTTCGAAAATGGACTGTAGTGAAGGTTACACAGCATTGTAAACCTAAGTACTGTACTTTTTTCTGTAACACACTCATGTAAATACTGTGCATATGGGA